AGGAAAAGGGAGTGGGGGAAGTGACAGACTTCCAACAGCCTGCTCGTCATGGCTGGGAGTATCAGCATGATGTCTAGAGCTTACGATGGTAGACTGCGACACTGGGTTTGGGTTGAAGCTGCAGTGTTTCTCCTTCCCTGCCATACATCTTCCTTTGGTTAAATTTTGTGGGATTTGTTTGTCTTTAATTCCCTTTCTGACTGCAAAGGTAAGTAAATATGGGACACTAACCAGGACTGATAGAACAGTTGCTGTGCTCAGCAGTGCTGGGGAGGTCTGTTGTTGGCTGGTAAGTGGAAATAAAGATTGTAACGCTTGCCTGGGGTGGAAACTCAGCAGGATGCTGTTTTCCCCTGTAAGCCAAGCACAGTACTGAACACTTTCACCCTGTGAGAATATTGCAGCTTTAAGCCATCGGGTTGCTTTACTACTAAATACATGTTCTGTAATTCTTTTTAACTCATGGTTGAGATACTAGTTATTTCTGCATAACTTGTGCTGTGAAAACCGTTCTTCACACAAATTCCTCAAAGTTAAAAAAAAAAAAAAAAAAGTTGTTCAATTCACTTTTTGCACAGAATACAAATAAACTACCCTCTGAGGAAGATTTGTAAGGTTTCTTGTGGCTTTAAAGGGACTAACAAGTCCCCCTTTGTAAAAAAGGGAGCACAGTGTCCTAGCAGCTGTTTACTATAGTGTTCAGTCATCTGAGAAGTGACCAAACATGAGTTCACCTAAGAGTAGTCTTTTGGGTGTAAATACTTTGATTTTGGCTGGCATCATAAAGGTCTTTATAAAGACACGACAAGCAGTTTGAAAAGTCTATATTGTAATTTAGATAGCGTTAATATTTTTACACTATAAGTAGAATATAATCTAAACTGTCAATTGGAAATGAAAATTATGACGGTCATACCTGAGGCAAATGTATCTGCGTGCATAATTTTTGGACATAACTCCTCATAGTAAAGAGTTGAATGTATGAATAGTGAAACAACTATTATTTACCATTATCTAGGGGGAGATTATTTTTTTTTTTTGTCCAGACATGCAACAAGAATCCTGTTGTGTTTGTGACTCTAAACAAAGCTGATGTCAGGAATGGCTTTGACATTGCAGATTCACAAATTACAGATTTTTCTGCTCTTTCAACAGCTCTTTTCCATCTGGCATATCATAACCCAATAAATTCAAACTGAGGCACTGAAATACGTTCCTAAGGACTTGATTAACTCCTTTCTCAATCAATTTACAGTGCTTCTAACAGATTTCTAGGATGCCATTACCCGCAAATGTCAGATAGTCTCCAGGTTCTCTGCTGGAACAATGTCTAGCAGGACAGCCACAATTTTTTATTGCTTTTTATAGTGTCTGTGAAATACCTGTTGGAGGGAGTAGAGGCTTGTGCCTGTGTAGTGTGCAGAACCACACAGTTGCGCCTAAAATGTTTGTATGAATTTGAAGGCTTATTTGCAGACTAATAACTTTGTGCTAAAAAGTCAGCAAAGGCTTCTCATCAGTCGTCGTGTTGGGATTAGAAAGCATTTGGAATTAATACGTGTAAAACTGTGGGGCTTGTTTTTTTAAATAAAGGGTGATTATTTGTTTGATTTGGGAATGTTCCTGGTTTGAAATGAAGTGTTCAAAACGGGGGTTTATGAAAAACCTTGATGGATAAAGGAGGTTTATTAATGAATCTGTGTGTTGGGAGATCAAACCTCTTCTCCCCAGTGCTTTTTCTTTGATTCCACCACCACCCTAAGGGACCCTGATCAGCAGTCGTGCTTCTGTTTAGGATTTGTGGGATTTGGTTGCTATATAGTTGGCAATATGAGATCTGCAGTACCGTAAATAAATTCACTTATTTAATCTTAGAACCAGTCTTTTTACTGGACTTAATTGATTATTTGGTGCATATATTTAATCTTATTGTGTGAAAAAGCTGCTATGGAAAATATGTAGATTATAATAAATATGTAAACATAATTGATTTTTCATGTTATGAAAATATTATGGAGGAACTGCTTTATTTTAGTATAAAATAACGGAAATGTGCTGAATGATCTCTGATAAAGCTTTACTGGAAATGATTTCAGTGTTGGCAACCCCTCCATGGTTTTTATTTGTGTTGGTTTTCAGACTGAGTTTTGTGCTGGAAAATACATTTAATTAACCTGTAGTCTTGCCTTCATCATCTTCTTGTAGTCCTCCAGCAATGCGAGCAGGCGTTCTGCCGTGGTGTGCTTGCCTATAGCCCGGGGAAAGACTTGCAGATTCTCCTGAACATCTCTAATAACACGGGCCTGTAGTTAGAGCAATGGACTCTAAACTGAAAACAGTGGATTGTAGTATTTAATCTCGAATCTCAAAATATAGGTTTGTATGTCTCCTGTTGCTAAATATGTTCTCTAAGTTTTCCATTCTGTGTAGTTCCTCTTGCTCTAAGGAGAAAAAAAAAATGTGGTTAAAGAATTCTCATTTCTGCAATTCCTGGCAAAGTTGCAGTTTCATAATTCAACCAGATAGAATTGTGCGAAGAAAATTACTGGCAAGCCCTAGAAATGAAGCAAGTAGATCCATAATATTTCTACAGGGCACATTACCACACACGCACTTTTTAAATTCCTGCTTTATTCTTGCTAGTACACGAGAAAGCACCTATTTTAAACCTGTCCAGCAACCCCTTAGCTAGGCATTAGAACACGAGGGATCCTACTGATCGCTTTTTATGCCGCACTTCACACGGACACGGATGTTTTTATCCTTGTTCTTTAGACAATTTTTGTACATGTTTATCTGATCTTTCAGCACTGGTTGCTGGAGCAGAGGAATGGCACTGGGGCAGCACCCAGCGCTGCATGTGGGGTCAGTGGTGAGCGTTGGCGTGGCCGGAGCCCCGACCACAGCCCTACCTTACCCCCAGCATGTGAGTGTGCCCGAGCTCGGGTGGAGGCAGGGCTTTGCTGTCCTGTGTGTCTCTGGGACCAAGCAGTGTGGTGCTTCTGGTAACGTGAGAGTTTGCTTTTCCTGGGAAGGCACGTTTTTTTTCTTAACCAATATTGATTTCAGGAGGTTTTGCAGGTATAAATTCCTGCTGGATTCATTATACTGTATAATCAACTGGATTTTTTTTATTTGTAGTTTTAGACGGTCTTAAAATTGAGAGGAAAGAGTCAGTTCCTCCCTAGATGTTGAAAACGGAAGAGCAAAAGTAGATTTTTTTTTTTTTTTTTTGTGATGTGAAAGTTTCAGTTAAATTGTGGACAGACAGCTTGTCCTCCAGGGCTGCCTCCTATGAGGAGAGGTTCCTGAACCTCCCCAGAACAGGGAGCAAAGTCTGGTCCGCCACTTCTGATGGTGTAAGTCACTTAGTTGGGACTATTTTAACTCTCTAAACATAGCAGCTTTTTTCCTTTTCCTATTTTTACTTTTTTTTTTCCCCCAAAGCTTTCAGTTGATACAGGAAGGAGAATTAACAGCTGTATCACTTCAGAAGGGGGAAATAATTTCAAATCTCCTTATAACAGTATCAGATTATGAAATCCTTCAGAGCAGTGGGCCCGTTGAGCAATGTGCAGTATGGGAGCTACAAGGAAAGACATACTGAGACGAAACTGAGCCAGGTGACATCTGCAAGTCCTCTTGGTGCCCTGTATCTCTCCTGTCAACTGGATATTTAAAATCAGTGGCGATGCTTTCAGTTCTGAATATGTAAGAGGCTGTTGGTCTGTCTACTACTGAGGAAAGCAGTTTAAATAAACACCCAAGACAAAAAAACCAAAACCCTTTCTCACAAAATGTCCCAGTCCAGACCCTTGTAAATGAGTTTCTGATTGCACTTTCTGATTTTTTGCTTTTCATACAGCTTCTTGAAACTTATTTTATTGTAACTGTAATTATTTTTGTTCTCACCTATTGTGCATTCTCTGTATGTATTAAAAAAAAGCTTTGATATGTAATTTAATAATAAATTAGAATTCTAAGCAAGGTGCATAGTTCTTCCCCCATGACACTGTTTGCCTACCGAGACTCCAGGGAAGATGGAGCGAAGATCGGTATGTCCAGTTTGGGACTGTCACTGAACATAAGAATTAGCATGTTCTCTATTTTTGTACCAAATATAGATGTGATGGAGCATTTCCTGACCCAAAGTGCTTGATTTGATGGGATGTGTTCCTCCTGCCTGCCTGTGCAGACCTGGACTCCCCTTCTGTTTCAAGCATCTGCTTTGGAAGGGTCTGAATATAGTTATGACTTTTTTCTGGCTGTTCTTTGACAGATGGAACAAGGATGGTTTTCTTTAGAGGTAAGCTTTAAAAAGTTTTCTATGTATCGGTAGTATAAAACATTTCATTCCCAAAGGCACACCAAAACTGATGTTGATTTGAAGAGCCTTCTCAGCATAAGGTGCCTCCCCCCATTTTTAATACATTTCTCAGTAGTTTGGTAGCTTTATTTCCCCCCCTTTCTCCAAATCACAACACAAACACCAAAAATAAGCTGATACTTTGAACATGATATAGACAATTGTAAAAAATCTCTGCGAAGTTCTGTCGTATCCTGCAGTTTTCTAGCACTGCTGTGGTCTGGACCAACCCCGTTCTCAGGAGTTCAAACCGGGCATCAGTCCTGCCTGAAGGACCCATCTGTATCTGGTGGTTTTGGAATTGGTGCTAAATCTTTCAGTGCCATTCAAAATTTATTTTCTCAAAGAAGAAGATCTGCCTGGCAGTGTGATACCTGTATTTGCATAAGGCTCAGAGTGGGGAGAGGTAGTTCTCTTCATTCCAGAGCCATCATGCTGTGCCTGTAATGCTGCTTTAGAGATAGATTTCTATATCCTTAATGTGCCTACTAAATATTCCAGAATGACCATATGCTTTCTCAAGGGAAAAGGCTGACTGTATGTTTCACATCGGAGAAGGAACTTCAAAACCTGTTTTGAAAATGGAAAGGCAATTCTCATTTCAGATAGTGGGAAGTGCAGTTAGTTTTTCCAGTTTGTGGCGCTGGTAATAAGTGGTGCATAAAATTCCATCTTTGTTTGGATTAGAAAATAAATTATTAATGGAGCTGAATCCTTTTTTCCAGCTCCCTGTACAGTCAATAATTTATAGTGGCACAGGCGTAAGATACATATTTTTAACCATCCGCCTCCCAGAATACTGTTGTTCATATTGAAAACTGCTGTCCTTCCTAACAAGCTCAGGCGCAGTGGGTGTTCGTGCATTATGGATGAGCCGGGCTCTGCTCCTCCAGCCCTCGTGCAATTCCATGAGCAGATTTCCTGCCGAAAGGGAGCCGAGCGCCCCATTAGAAATTCATGGAGAGAGACAGGAGGGGCTTTTGTTTTATGCGTTTCACTGAACGTGGGAGATGTACTGCTGTGTGGACTTGATTTTGGAATGTTTTTCATAGAAAATGGCAATGTTTACAGTAGATATTTACATTCTCTGCATGCCAGCCCTTTATCCAAACCTGGGCTCTTCAGGTACAAAAGCTGTGCTGCCAGTGCTTGTGCCTCAGCGTCTGGGCTGTTGAACACTCATTAAACACTCCGAGTTCATTAAATGCGCCGAGCCTGCTGTTGCCTTCATCTTGTGCTGGTGCTCATCCCTGGCTTAATCTTTCCCTGTCATTGCAGCCCTCCTTGCTCTTTGTTCTTAATGGGACCCTGAGGCTTTGCTAACCCACTTTTGATAGCCCCCGCTAGTAAAGCCTGGCTGTAATCAAAGCCCCTCTGCCTCTGAAACAGCCTTTGCAGTGTTCTCATTGTGGATTACTTTCTGGTCGTCTTGACTTTGAAGCCCTGTGAATCCTCTGTTGGTCAGGGGGGTGATTTTGTGGGGTCTTCTGCGATCGTTGTCCGTTTAGGTCTTAGATTTTTGTGCTGCTTTTACCTTTGCTCACTGCACTCACTGCCCGTCGGGTTCTCCTCCCTTGCTTCCTGGGTGTTTGGCTTCAGCTAGATATTTCAAACAGGTGAATTTATTTTTGGTCTCATAATTTTAGTTTCTTTTTAAAAAATCTATTCTTTCTTTGAAGTCCAGAAAGGCAGTCCCAGGGTGACTTGAAGCTTAAATGATCAAAGCTACACCTAGAGCTGTAGCTGAGAATTCACTGATGCTTTGGTGCATGGGCCCAGCTTGCTCTTCCACAAATGCTATGAACAAGTCAGCTTTAGTCCCTTTGGATGTTGTTTTGTTTCTTTTGTGTCTTCTTTGTCCGTACCTGTCCATCTGATGCAAGGTTCTTGGAAGTGGGGACAATGTTCTTTATCTGTTGCCTTTCTAAAGGTGCACTGAAAAGAACTAGGAGCTCCTTGCTGCAGGTTGCAGAGTCCCACGGAGCTGCTAGCTGTATGGTGGAAGCTGTAAGGTGTTTGCTGGTCCATGTGCCTGGGCATATCATCTGCTACAGATCCCTCTGACTTCAGACCCGTGCTGAGCTGGCTTCTTTCAGGGTGAAATGCTGCTGAACCATCAGATTTTTAAGGGAACCTTTTCTTAAGACTCTGCAGGATGCTCAGGAATATTGCAGGTGTAAAAAGAAAGCGTGAGTAGCTGTGAAAGTGCTGATCAGATGTCCCTGGCAGGTTCAGCTATTAACA